TTAGTGCCTCTTCCAAGTGGGAGCTCTCTCTGGTGTGTGTTCCTCTGCAACCTAAAGATCTCACACTTTGTGTCCATTCTCATAGGTTCACCTGTATGTCTGTCGATTCCTGTGTGTCAGGTCCCTCCATTGTCATTCTGACTTTGTTGCTCTTCTCTCTGCTCTTTTTAAAAAATTTAATCTTTATTATATTTCTTTCCATGACCGTTTAGTCCCCTTATCCTCCCTCCCCCCAGCAATCACCACACTGTTGTCCGTGTCCATGAGTCCTTTTTCCTTCTTGGTCAGCCCTCCACCTCCTCGCCTCCCTACCCCCATCTCTGATCTTTAAAGTGCTGCCACTGGCCTCTGCTGCTCCAGGATTCTGTCATTCGCATTGCCACTAGGGAGCCCAGTTCTGCTACAGCACCTCCTACTGTTGTCAGCCTGCAGAGGACAGCCGCGGCCGAGCTTCTCGGTGATGCTCGTGGCCTGTCCCTACTGTGCTCCGCGTTGCCTTGGTAAAGAGAGTATTAGCTCAGGCCCCCGGAGGGCTATAGTTAGCTTGCAGATTTTCTGGTCTTATATAGTAAATCCATGAGAGCATGCCCACTTCTTTGAGCCTTTTGATCCCTTTCTCTATAATCTGCCATAATAGTTCTGACATTGCTCTTAAAAAACAAAACAATTACAGAAAGACCTATTTATTGAGGAGTATGGTCAACATTAAAAATGTGTCGTAAATTTTTATATTCCAAATAACAGACATTGAAATTTTAGCTCAAGGAGTAGCAGAGAGCCAATTTAATCCTCACTAATTCATCCATATGGTTCACTCCGATTCAGTAGTTGTTATAACAGGCATTAGAAATGAAAGAAACCTATAATTTAGGTTTATTGGATGACAAAGGAAAGGAGAGGAAGTGGACCCCTAGACCTACAGAAGAATACTCCTATGATACCCTTGGGTAGTCTCTCTTCTAAATGAATATGAATGGCAAGAGGGATGATGTTGGATACACTTATTAAACCATGACCTGACTTCACCAGATCCCCATTTTCAGGTTCTGATTAAAAAGGGGAAGTCCCTCATGGTCAAAATGAAGGGCAGAAGTCACTGATAGTTAAATTCATGTCAAAGGTGTGCACTACTCAATTACTAAACCACAAGAAACTCTCGAGTTATTTTTAAAAACCTATAGTGGCCATAATCTCTGACCACAATGCAATAATGACTTAGTACAATTATTAAAAAAAAGTCATCAGGTTCCTCTTGACCTCTCTACTTTGTCTAACCTTCTGAGAGCCACACCAACCACTTACAAGGACCGTTGCCTTGGCCTTTGCCAGGATATTCAATCCTGTGTCATGGGAGAATGTCCCCTGTTAGTTTCCTGGGGCTGCTGTAACAAAGTGCCACAAATTGGGTGGCTTAAGTTTATTTATTTTCTTGTAATTTTGGAGGCCAGAAGTCCGAAATCAAGGTCACCCTCTCTGAAGGCTTAGAAGGAGGTTTCCTCTTTGCCGCTTCCTCACTTCTGGTTGTTGCTGGTAATCCCTGGCGTTCCTGTGGACACTTTGCTTCCGTCTCTGCCTCTGTTGTCATGTGGCCGTTTCCCCTGAGTTTCTGGGTCTAAGTGTTTAAATTCCCCTCTTTTCATATGGACACTGGATTACGTTCACCAAAGCAGGTCTCACAGATCAGAGGTTAGGACTTTAACATATCTTTTGGGAGGACACAATTCAACCAAGGCCTCATATTGACAAACTTTCTCTTACCCAACTTTATTATCCCTCCACCTCCCTCCAGCACTTTCAGAATCCATTCCCAGGCACACTTTCCTGCCTCCTGCTGGTAAATGTTTGTCAGATCCTGCTTCTTTGGTGTATAATCCACAGGCAGGCCCAGTACATGCCCAATGTGGGATTTGGTTCTAGTTATCGGTTTGGTGGCCAAGGAGGAAGGTAGGAACAGATTCTGAAGAGCATCAGTATTGTCTTGTAAGTCACCTGCTCCATTTGAGGCTTTGCCTAATTTTCAAGTAAGGAGAGGAAGGATGTGTGTGTGTGTGTGTGTGTGTGTGTGTGTGTGTGCGTGCGCCCCAACAAGGGGAAGTAGCCACTTATCCTCTAATCCAAGTCTCAGATATCCTCTCATCCCAAGTTTTCAGGATCCCATTTCTTATCAGGATCTCAGCTTTGGTGTAAGAAACCGGCCTAAGCTCAGAATTCTCCCTTCTCTGGAGTTCCTCTGGTTTTCAAACAAAGCTTTTGTTGTTCAATCATTTTAGACCTACCGAAAAGTTGCAGCGATAGAACAGAGATTTTCTACATATGTACTCCTTACTTGGCTTCGGCTAATGTTAACTTCTGACTTCACTGCGGTACATTTGTCAAAACTAAGACATCAGCATTGATGCATTACTAATTAAATGCCACACTTTATTAAAATTTCATTACATTTTCCACTGATGTCATTTTTCCTGTTCCAGGATCCAATTCAGGTACCACATTGCCCTTAATTGTCATGTCTCCGTAGTCTCCTCTGATCTGTGACTGCCTCTCAGCCTTTTCTTGTTTTTCATGACTTGGACAGTTCTGAGGAATACTGGTTGGGTATATTGTAAAAAATCCCTCAGTCTGGGTGTATCTGATATTTTTCTTATGATTAGACTAGGATTGTGATTGTTTTTTTTTTTTTTTTAGGAAGAGTACTACAGAGGCGAAATGCCTTTCTCCTCACATCCTGTCAGGGGGTCCACACTATCTACATGGGTTACCACTAGTGATGCTAACCTTGGTTGCCTGGTTAAGCAATGTCTGCCAGGTTTCTCTGCTTTTCCATCCTCTCTTCTTTGGAAGCAAGTCACTAAGTCCAGCCCACGCTCCGAGAGGATTCTTCCATTTTTACAATAAAGTCTTGTGCCTGAACTTCAGTTCTCTCTCCCCTCCACCTGCAGGAGAGAAAGGTCTCTTTAAAGGGTGACAAGGAAGCAATGGACTCTTGCACCTTCCTTTAAATTAAGGATTGATTGACTGAATCCTCTTATTTTCTCTTTTCAAAGTATCAAACGCATTTAACAATCGCCACTGAACTCCATGGGGAAATTGCTGTTTCTTCATACCTCCCCAATCACCAGAGATATCGCATGGACCGGTGCACCCCTGCACTTGATTCATACACATCACATATCAGTATGAATCCCAGCTCACCACAGGTGAAAGAAAGCCTTAGCATATGCACTGGCACCACATTTACATGCCAGGAACTGTCAACACCCCACCTCCCACCAGTGGTGGGGTCTTCATTGCCAGCCAGCTAGTGAGGAACCAAACTCGAAGATCCCATTCTGAGATTCTGCCTCCTACAACTGTCTCTTAGCGACTCCCCACCTCAAAGGCTTTGGCCAAAAAGCAGGGCACAGGGCATCTCAGCTTTTAAACTCTCAGCCTTCTCTTTCTAACCATCTCTTATCTTCTCTTGGCCTAGCAGTATATTTTCTTATCTAGGGTTTATTTTCTCTCTTTTACCAACGTTCCCCAAATATCTTTACAATAACCAAAGCCTCTATGTGCTTTCTTAAACCTTAGTGCAAGGACCATAGACTCAATACCTACAGAGTAAGGCAGGACCTATTGTATTTTTTTTTTTTATCAAAGACATGCTTTACATATTAACACAGAAGTAGTCCCCACTTCCACGAAGAAACATGCAATATCATTCAAAGTTCTTAGCTGCAATCAACAGAATCTACTCTAGCTTAAGTGGAATGCAGTTTAGTAAAGCATGTTAGGAAGCGCTCAGGGAGGACCAGACCTGGACGCTCCGCCTCCAGGAAAAAGGCAGGAGAGAACCTATTGTACCTACTACCACCAATGCTTGCCGCTAAGTACTAACTATGATTTGGTCCAGCAGTTCTGCCACAGCAGGCACAGCAGGACCGGTCGCCTCCTCCATCTGCCAACGTTTGCGTCGCCATTTCTCCTGCACACTGTGTTCTCCTCTCGTTGCTCTTCACCATCTACATCCCACTGGAGTGCTACTGATTCATACACATCACATATCAGTATCATAGCTGCAAGAGAGCATAGAGACAGTAATGTTCTCTGCTGGTAAGGCAGGACTCAAAATTTCAGGGGGCAGTTAAGATATTGGGCATCTGTGAATGGTGGTTGACTATGGATTGTATGTGTATTCCTAGTCTAGTTTTTTTCCCTCTACTTTTGATAGAGTTATGTGTACACAGCATATTTTTCTTTTCTCTTCATTTTATCTGTAAGGAAAGCACCAGGGCAAGTGTAATGTTAAATGGCAATGGAGTTCAGCATTGGACTGACAGTAGGGAGTGGTGGGGACTTTAGTAAACAGGGAGCCAATTGTAGCCATGAGAGAACCTGGGTCTAATAATTCCAGACCTTCAGATTTTTCCAAATAAGCCAGAAGGGTTCTAATATATGAGAGGATGCAAACAGTTCCTTTTATAATTGACAGATAGTATTCAGTTTCCCAATTACTTATTTTTAAGAAGAGAGTAAGTTCACTATAATGGACATACCATAATCTGAACCTATAGAACTCAATGAAAAATCCTATCATCTGGTTAAAAGATGCCAGAATATCACCTCCTTAGAAGAACCACTTGAGGAGAAAAACATACACAACCAACTGGGTGTGTGCTGTGATAGAAAATGTACCTCCCTACTGCCACATAGCATGTTATTAAGACTTAGGAAAAGAGTAAAAGAAACACTATCGACCTCATGGGGCTGTTATGAGATTAAAATGACTTAGTGCCCATCAAAGTCCAACACAATCTCTGGAATATCAGTAATTTCAGCCATTATAATTTATTTTAGTAATAATAATGATGACAGTAACAGCAATAACATTTAAAAATGCAGGCTGTATCCCCCCTTTGTGATTTTCTTTTCTTTCTTGGTACACTTTTTCTTCTGAGTAGGACATTTTGTTTTTCTTTAATCCTGACCTTCCTTCTCTGCCCATTCTTTTTCCACTGTAGAAAAATCGATGGGACCAACGAGGAAGAAAATAGCATTGAGCTGAATGCAGATGGAAGGCCAGTGCAGGCGCCCAGGCAGAGCCCCGCACTCTGCGACTGCCAGTGCTGTGGCGTCCCCAAGCGTTACATCATTGCCATCATGAGCGGGCTGGGGTTCTGCATTTCCTTCGGGATTCGGTGCAACCTTGGAGTTGCCATTGTGGAAATGGTCAACAACAGCACTGTCTATGTTGATGGAAAACCGGAAATTCAGGTCAGTGTCAGTCTCTGGTGGGAGCACTTTTAGCCATCCCTGTGCAAATGCTTTGCTACGTGAAGGAAAGTGCTATACCTCATTCACTGAAGTGACAAAAATGTAGAGGGGCATCTATGCACCAAGCACTGGGCAAGGTGATGGAAACAGATGCTGAACAACACAGGCTGGGCCCTTGTCCTCACAGAGACGTATAAGCAAGTGATGAGAATTCAGGGTTCTAGGTGCTATGCTGGGGTGGTCAGAATGCTCAGGATCATATAACAGAGGGGGCCTAATACAGAACTTGATATTGTGAAAGAATTCCCAGAGAAAATGATGGTGGGACCTGAAGGATGAGGAGGAATTTGACAGAGTTTTGGTGGGCTGGACAGAAGAGTCTTTGAAGAGAAAGGAACATGTGTCAAAGACTGTAGGAGGGAAGGAGGGTGGGAGGAAGGAGGGAGAGAGAGAATGGTGAGTTTAGAACTGGGATAGGAGTTTGTCTTTTCTGTGTCATGGCCCACTTTTGGCAACCTGGTGAAGACGTATGAACCGTTTGTCAAAATAATGTTTTCACTTCTGAAAATTAAATATATGAGATTATAAGGGAAACATTAAAATACAGAATCAAGATATTTAAACATGAAATTTGCAATATAGAAACATATGAGCTGTCTGAACACATGAGATGAAAAAAATCTAGCAATGGGTCTAAATATCAGTGTACTTTTGAATTTTGAACTATAAACAGTAATTTGAGATAGTAATAGAGTCATAGGGACTGATAATATGACTGTAGTTGTTTGTTGCCTACCTTCATAATCACAGAAGATGCTAAATTTCAGGTAGGAGTTAGGAAAAAGTAAGATGCTGATTTTTTCACATCCAAGTTCACAGATCCGTAGTATTCCATTCACAGAGTCCAGATTGAGAACCCAGAAAGAGAGTACAGAGTAGGGGGGAGCATCAGAAGATGCAGGCAGCAAGGTAAGTAGGGGCCAGATCATGTAAAGCCTGGTAACCCACGTAGGGAGTCATTGATGGGCTTTAAGAGGAGGCAATACAATAAAATCTGTGCTCCAGAATGGTCGCTGTTTAGCAGTGAGCTCCTGAGGGGTCAGGATTGACGTGAATGGAAACAGGAGGTCCTATTTCGAGGGCTGTTGTAGTCGTAAGTGAGCATACTCTGATGTGACTTAAGTAGTATTGTTTTTATAAATCACCAGAAAGATAAAAATCTGATGTGTTTCTTAAATGGTAAGGCTCAAATCATTGAAAAAGATGAAAATATATGCTCAGTAGATACCCAATAAATACATGTTTCATTGTACTGAACACGTGCACCAGAATGACTCATGTGGAAATCCCTCCATTGGCCGAGAGGCCTCTAATTGTCGTCTGGTCTGACTCCCGGCCACAGTTGGAAAAACATTTAGACCAGAGTTCCCCAAACTGGTGTCTGGCACATCACTGTTCTGCAAGCTGTGCTATGAGGAAGGCATCATGTGAAATGGGAGCCCTCACTGTGCTGTGTTCTATGAGAAGCTCCAGGAGCAGCCGTGCAGTGCTGCGCTTCCGGGACTCGACAGCAGAACGCGCTCCTTCATGCCACCTGTGTTCGTGTTTCCTGGGCCAGTTCCTGCCAACTGCTGATTTGGGAAAATTTGATTTCAATCCACTAAAAAGAAGTTTTTAGTTGGCCTGTAGGTGTTTTTTTTTTTTTTTTTTGGTTTGTTTTCTAAGAGATTATTTTGCTAGAAGAAAAGAACTCCGTGGAGATTCTTCTAACTAGTCTCTTTTTGATGTCACAGATGCATTTTTTTAAGGTGGATGCTTGTTTTTCTTTGGGGGGCGGGGGAAGGCAGCCAAGGTGTAGGGAGCACGGCATGCATTTTTTAAATAAAAAGTGATGTATATTAGCAAGGTTTCCAATGTATATTGTACATGTCCTCCCAGCTTTTTGTAAGCAAGGCCAGCTAATTAAAACTTGTCTGCTACGGCCCCAATTAAAATGAGATGCTGGTTTGGCTTTGTTTATTGCCTGAAAAGATAGGCCTAGGTCAATAGTCTGCTCTGGGGCATATCCAAAAGACACTTGAAAAACCTGAAGAACAATTCTGGTGTGTGGTCTGCAGCTTCTATGGTTTTACCCTCCAGAGTCTTGGAGAAATGGATTAAGATCTAAAATATACTTTGTCATTGTTTTCATTGGCCTTAAAAGTAGAAGTTGAGTAGCATTTCAGAAGCTCTAACACAGTTCTAATTTACAGTAGGCCATTTTTCTTTTATCCAAAGAGAACAAAACTTAGAGATCAGCTGAGTATGTTCAACCTGATGACAAAGATACTTCACTAATCGTATTAAGAAAGGCTCTGGATGGCTGGTAATTTTGTTTGTCTGATTTTTTACTTAATGGAGGGAAATGTAGATATTTTGCAGTGAGACAATGTTAAGTCCTCATTTTCAAAAGAGTGTAAAAATTAAGCAGTATGAATAGATAGGTCTTGCAAAAATGTGGCATATATTTTATTATTACTGGTATAAAAGATAGTTTTAGCTGATGTGTGAATAATCATTGGTGGTTGAATACTTATGAGTTTTCAAACATGTGAATCTAGCATATGGTGAGCAATAAATAAATGACTGAGGTTTGAGAAACTTCAATTATTCCCCATTACCCTCAGGAAACGTCCAGACTCCTTCCCATGAATCGTGAGCTCTGGGAGGTTAAGAGGATGGACTTTGGAACTGGCCAGAACCTGGTTTCAAACTTGACTCTTGTTTTTTAGCTCTGAGACCTTGAGCAAGTTGCCCTTGTGTCTTGGTAAGGGATTGCTGGTTACAAAAGAATAGAAATTCAGGGAAACCAGTTCAAGGTAAAAAAGGGAAGTATGGTAGAGCTATAGGGGATCTCATGAAAGTGAGGGGCTGAGAGCAGATCTGCTGTGTACGTTTGTATGACCGGCGCCCAGGACTGGTGGGTTCAGCTTGAGCTGGGACTGAAATCCAGGCTGTTCTCCACCAGGAGGAGGAAAAGGAGTCTTGATGTAGTCGTTTCCGAGGCCTGAACAGAGGTCCTGCCAGGGAGGCCAGAGCAGAGCTGGACCTCATGGGAACTAGGACATCCTTACTAAGCTCTCCGGTGTGCTCGCTCCTCACGGCCTCTCCTCTGTTCCTCTCTGACTGTGCCTCATTCTCTGAGTCTCTGAGTCAGGGACCATTTTCTTTTCTTTTCCATGGTTCCTCACTGCTCTCGAAAGCTGACGTTCCTTGAGCCTTTGCCTTGCCAATGGGACTTGTTGCAGTTCAGTATTGTTTAACTAAAATCTCTGGGTTCAGGTTGGAGAGAGGGAAGGGGAGAATCAGGGAGAGAGAGGGGAACAAGCAGGATTGAGAGAGACAGACGGAGGCTGTCTGGCTGAGTCCAGTCTTGCCTCTCTCTAGTCAGATGTCCACTCAGTGGGGGAGAGGCCCATGGCGCGGAGGAGGGGGGGAGAATCCTCTTAGAAGGACATGTGAGCAGGGAGACAGGAATCGGCATTTCTAGCAATTCTTTGCTAACTTTCATTGCTTTTGTGGTAAAATGGGAATAAAAGAGCTGGTTTGCAGATTCAATGAGATAATTTGGTGCTAATATATTAAGTGCCTATATTAGTTTCTTAAGGCTGCCATAACAAATGACCACCAACAGAGTGGCTTAAAACAAGAGAAATGTATTCTCTCACAGTTGTGGGGATCAGAAGTCCAAAATCAAGGTGTCAGCAGGGCAATGCTCCCTTTGAAGGCTCTAGGGGAGGATCCTTCCTGACCTCTTCCAGCTTCTCATGACTCCAGGCTTCCTTGGCTCATGGTGGCATCACTCCAGTCTCTGCCTGTGTCTTTAGGTGGCCTTTTCCTATCTGTCTCAAATCTCCCCATGCCTTTCTTTTAGGACACTTGTCATAGGATTTAGGGCCCAGCTGGATAACCCAGGATAACTTATCTAAGATCCTTGACTTTACCACATCTGCAAAACCCTTCTCCCAAATAAGGCAGCATTCATAGGTTCCAGGGATTTTGTGTGTCTATCTGTTGGGTGCCATTTTTACCGCCCAACATAGTGCCTGACACACGTGCGTGGCTTACACTAATGGTTCATAGTTGGGACCATTATGATTCTAACCAGACTCAGGTGATGTTTCTAAAAGTCAGTTCTCAGCAGGGCGAAGTGATCTTCTTCATGTGTCATGTCCTTCAGAGAATGGACAGAAACACAATCCCCTCAGAGAGAAAGGCATGAGCAAGGGACAGTATGGTTAGCAGTCAGCCACTGAATGAAGTGGAGTCCCCTGCCTTGGAATCTTGGTTATTCTATGACTCAAGGCAAAAAAGTATAGTTTCTTCTTCTTAGCAAGAAAGTCAAGTCTTTACAAGCAATGGGAAGAACATAGTATTTGGGGTCAGGCAGGTAAGAGACCTCAATCTCTACTTTCCTTGTAACTAGTTGTTGTAACCAGTAACTTGTAACTAGTATGACCTTGGCCAGTGAGTTACTCTCCCTAAACCTCAGTTTTCTCATCTACCAAAAAAAAAAAAAAAAAAAAAAGCAGCTAATAGTAATTACATTTTGATATTATAAAGATTAAAGGAGGCAATACATGGAAAGTGCCTTAACAAAATCATGTTTCTCTTCTGCTTGAAGCTTCCAATGGTTTCCATCTCTCTTTGAGAAAAATCAAGGTCCTTATAATGATTTAAAGGCCCTTCATCATTTGAACTTCTCTTACTTAAACTCCTACTCTCCTCTCCCTCACTCATTACCCTCCAGCTTTACTGACATCCTGCTGTTCCTTTCTTTTTTTTAAAGATGAGTTCCTTCTTTCTTTTTTTTAAAGATTTTATTTATTTATCTTTAGAGAGAGGAAGAGACGGAGGAGGAGAGGGAGACAAGCATCAATGTGTCGTTGCATTTTGTGCACCCCCTGCTGGGGATCTGGCCTGCACCCCAGGCATGTGCCCTACACTAGGAATCGAACCAGCGACCCTTTGGTTCACAAGCCGGTGCTCAATCCCCTGAACCACACCAGCCAGGGCTATTCCTTTAATGCACAAGATATATCCCTACCTCAGGGCCTTTGCACTTGCTATTTCTCTGTCTAAAAAGCTCTCCTCTCAAAGAATGAATGCACAACTTATTCCCTTCCTTTCTTTAAGGGCTTTACTCAAAAATCATCTCCTCCATGAAGTCTCTCCTGACCACTTTATCTAAAATCACATCCTACCTCAATCCTACCCAATATTTTCTGTCCCCTTCTTTATTTTTCCTTGTCATCCTCTCATCACTGACCACCATCTAACACAGTATGTACTTATTTATTATCTGCCATCTCTGCTGGCATCTCCATGAAGACAGCAATGACTGCTGCTGTTCACTGCTTGTCCCCAGGGCCTAGAACAATGTGTGACACATAGTAGCAGGAAATAAAAAATTGGTGAGCTGGTTTGAGTGAATAATTGTTACTCTTGAGCTTTAACTCCCCAATCTGCAAAATGGAAACTACAGTACAGGGTACAGGCCAATCTTACCTAGACTTGATCTCTTAGAAAGCAAAGGCAATTCTTATTTGAATCTGTATTTACACTGTCTGGCACCTGACCCAGCACCCAGGAGGCACTAGACGATTGTTGAATATGTGAGCAAATAAATAAGTAACAATTTGTGGCAGGAAAATAAACTGTCATGAAAATTTATCAGATAGAGTATATTGATAATTAAGAACCTTTACACCTTAATAGGAACATCTTGTATTTTGATATCAACCGTTTACAAAGCCATTCATTTATTCATTTGGCAACTATTTCTATGTACCTTCTATGCTCCAGATATTTGTTTTAGGTCCTGAGGCTATAAAGTCAAAAGGACAAGGCTGCTACCTCAGAGCTGCTTGCCACGCAGTGCGGGAAGGGAAGCAATGCGCGAAGGGCTGGCTTTAGGACAGCACAGTGTGGGTGGGTGCCCTGGCCGTGAGAACACAGGTCTGTGCAACCAGTGAGGGAAAAAGTGACCCCATCAGTTCAGGGGCGCTGCGGAGCCTCCTCTGAGGGAAGGACGTTTGCAGGGAGTCTGAAAACAATGACTTCCGCGGCCCTGAGAAGGCAGTGAGGAAAGGGACTCCAGCCCCAGAGATCGCATTTTCCATGGCCCGAGCCGTGGCGAAGGGTGTTTTATCGCTGTTGTCATTGTCATCGCAGCAACGGCGACCGCTGACATTTATCGAGTCCACATTACATTCCAGTGTTAAATGTGTTAAATGCCAAATCTCTAAGCAGACGTATAACCTACTAGAAATATCTGTGCCCTTTCTCTCCGTGTATCTTATGGGTAGGTAGAAAAGGTTTTATTATCCTTTCTAAGAAATGAAAGACTTAAAGACTCTCATTCCTTTTGTGTTCTCTCTAAACTGGCACCTAGTAAATAACCTAGTAAACCTAGAACTTATTTTTTTTTTTGTTTACCTCACACGCTGTTTTACTTGTTTCTTGGCATTCGTCATTATTTTGTATCGATGAGGTCTGTCCAGAAAGTATCCAGCCACGTGCTATGCAAAATAGAGACATTTATTGAAGAAGATGCAAGATACAAGAAACATTGTACAGAGGACAATGACACCTCAGTCCCCTTCAAAGCAGACACCTTGAGATCTCACACAGTTCTCCCAATCACCATCAGCTGCCCCATTGTATTTTCCTGAATCTCACTGACGGTCTGAAATTTCTTCCCTCTTAAAGGTGATTTTAGTTTGGGGGAAAGCCAGACGTCACAGGGCACCAAGTCTGGGCTGTAGGGCGGCTGCGTCACCTGGGTGATTTGATGTTTCACCAAAACACAGTATGAGATGTGATGCTTGCGGGAGCATGTTGTTGCAATGAAGCTGCCAATCATCAGTCGTCCAGAGCTGTGGGGCCTTCTGAATCGTCTCAATAGCTTCCACAGACGAGTGTTCAAGCTCAGTGCAAAATCTGATGCAGATCCGTTGCCCCGCTTGCTCCATCATTTTGAATGTGATGGCCACCGAGTACATATGCTCGCTCAATGGCTAGTCCAGCAAAGTCGTCGTTGTTCATGCTTGTGCATTCCAGTCTACTCTCTTTGGCTGCCATCAATGTCATACAAACTGTTCTTGTTATATTAACAATGGCTGGATGTTTTCTGGACAGACTTCATATATATGCACATATATACAGACATTATATATATATTTTATTTGGTATATGGTATATATATTTGGTATACATACAATATACGTATGTTTGGTGTGTGTGTGTGTGTGTATACATACCATGTATATGTATCATTTCCTTTTGATATATAGTATATATTATATATAGTTATATTTAAACATATCTATATGTTTAAATTTGAACCCAGTCTGTCACTACAAGGTGAGCTCCTTTAGAGTAGGTGCTTTGTTGTATTCACTGCTATATCCCAAGCACACAAGAGGCTCTACATAAATAATTGTTGAATAAAGGAAGGAAAGAAGGATATTGTGGGGTTATTAGGGAGAATCATCAGTCCAAAATGGTGGTCAAGTGTTTTCTGACAAACACAATTGTATCTGGTTTCTTGTTTTCAGATAGCACAGTTTAACTGGGATCCAGAGACGGTGGGCTTTATCCATGGATCTTTTTTCTGGGGTTATATTGTGACACAGATTCCAGGTGGTTTCATTTCAAACAAGTTTGGTGCTAACAGGTAAGATATACCTATATAACATGAGTGCTACATGGATCATAACACGGCTTTCTACTTTTACGAAGTGTGCAGAGCTGGCTCTCAGTTTGGGGTACAGAATGAAAGACAGGAGCCATTCCAATGGATGTGATTGACAGATATCAATCCCATGTGATCCTGTTCTGAAGAGTCTCTTTTTATTTAATCTAATTTATCTTGCAATTGTTAAAGTGATAATGTAGTAAAAAAGAGCAATTGACTCCGAGTCAGGAGTAACAGTTTCTGGACCCTAACTAACTCCCTTGGTGACCTTTACTGAGTCACTTTCCTTCTTCTCTGGGCCTCAGTTTCCACACCTGTGAAATATAAAGCATGGATTAGATTGGGTTTGAGCTGCCTTTGATCAGTAACATTAGGTGATCCTGTGTAAATATCGTCCAGTACAATACAGGTTTTGTCACGTAAGTAGTAGGGACTGGCCTCTAGATTGCAAGATGCCTTTAATGCCCTTGAGATTCTGTAGTAGGTGTTTGAGCAATTAGAAGTAACCAGGGCAGAATGAGGTGCCACAAGAAGCAGTGAGTTGTCACTCAAGGTATTCAAGCAAAAGAGGGTGGTCACTTAGAGAAGAGGCAGCAGGATCTATGTACCACAAAAGGAGAGTGCCAGATATTTCCAAGTTCCTTCTAATTGTGTGTCTTGTGTAACATTACATGGAGGGGTTTTGTGAAGTATGCATTTTATAAAGCAGTGTTTTTTTTTTTCAAATAAAGATTTTATTTATTTTTAGAGGAGGGAGAAAAAGAGAGAGAGAAACATCAATGTGAGAGAGAAACATCAATGTGAGAGAGAAACATCAATTGATTGTCTCTCCTATATGCCCTGACTGGGGCAAGCTTGCAACCCAGGCATGTTCCCTGCCAGGATTTAAACCTGTGACTTTTTGCTTTGAGGGAAAATGCCCAACCAACTGAGCTAAAGCAGTGTTTTTCAAATTCTAAAACACAGCTCTTTAGATGGTAATAAAATCAATATAATTATTTACCAATGAACATTTTCTAAAAAAGAGAGAGATAAATAGAAGATAATTAAATAGAATAAAACAATAGAAAATAGCTCATTGCACATTTAATTTTTGCTTTTTGAAACTTGTTTCAGTTACATTAGTGTGTATGAGGATGTATTGGGTTGCAATATAAAATATACTATGTTTTATGGGTCAAAGTAAAAAAAGTTTGAAAGTCATTACCATAAGATCTAAATATGTATAAGCATGACTCTATTTACTTACGTTCTTCTCTAATTAGTGTCCTGTTGTATTGTCTCTTAACCTATTATGTTCCTTTTAAAAAGTGATAAAATATTGGCTCCTGTGATCTCTGGGGTTAATGTTTACATTTCTGCTCTAAATATGCATAATTTCCCAGCCTGTGAAATGGGCTGAAGCATCACTAACATGTGCAAGAAAGGAAGGAAGTGCAGCCTGCTCTCTCTTCCTAGGACCCACTGGTCAAGGCAGTGAGGAGGAGGCAAGTGGCATGGGGCAGAGAGCTGGGGGCTGAGACAGGTACATAGCCTGTCTTGTGTTTGGCTGGTCCCAGGACACAGCATCTTCTCAGACGGTCTGTATCCCCTCCCGGTAAAGTGAGAGCAGAATTGTGAAGCAGGGGACTCAACCCAAATGTGCACAAGTCATGAGGTAATAGTCAGAATGCGTCAGTTGGGTAGAACCAAGCCGAATGGTGGGTCTGCAGCAAGCTCACCTCATGCTGGTCACTCTCCAGTGTCAGGACCTCATCCAGGTAGGACATCCCTGTATTGCCAAAAACATGCCCATGATTTGTCCAGGAACCAGAGCATAGGAATCAAAGCAGGCCAACAGTCTAGTTTGGGATGCACCAGATGGTAACACATCCATTTTTCTTTCTATTAATTTCCATAGTGATCTTCTATGAACTGTTAGGTTCATTTCTGATACTTTACTGAAGTGCCACATCCGTGAGCAGGCCTGCCCAGTAACATAGTGTTTTGGTCCCTCAGGGTCTTTGGAGCTGCCATCTTCTTAACATCAACCTTGAACATGTTCATTCCTTCTGCAGCCAGAGTGCATTACGGCTGCGTCATGTGTGTCAGAATTTTGCAAGGTCTAGTGGAGGTAGGAGATTCTTTCTTTAACTGTTTTTGATATCACTGGAGACAACACAGTCCTCTAGAAAAATTCAGTGTCTGAAGAAAATTCCTTTTACTCAGTTTTCCAGTCTTCCACCTTGTATTGCTATCTCAGCTCTCTTGTTATGAATACTTTAATTTAAAAACCTTGTGTAATTCCAAATTTAAACACAGTAAAGGACCATTTCATAGAGTGCAGAATTTTAACTGAGTAAGGAATGATCTTGGAGGTTATCTAATCCAATGCTTTTCATTTAATAAATGATGAAAGTAAAGCCCCAGACCTACAGATCACATAGCAAGGACTCTTCCCACCGAAACAATTTAAATGGAATTATTAATAAATTTGTAAATTCTCAAGAGTACAATCTTACACAGAAATTTAACTTGGTAGCATAATATAGGCAGAGGACTTTGCCAGCTACTCCACTCTGCCATTGTAGTCCAAACGTAGCTGGAGACAGTATGCAAACAAATTGGCGTAGCTATGTTCTAAAAAGCGTAAAAACACAGAACCTCATTGTAAGCAACAATGTCTTTGAAATCATGAGTTTGATGTGCTAGTGACATTTTTTTCTGAAGCATGGTAGAATATACATGTCACTATTACATTAAAAAGTGTAGGTTGTTATAGCAACTCATATCCAACTCTAGTGCCACTAGAATGTTGTACACCACATTCCTGAAAACACTGATATGGGGGAAAGAACATGCTATTGTAGCCATGAAGAGTAGCATCTAGTTACTCAGTGGCTCTGAGCCTCAGGCTCCATATCTTGAAATGAAAGGATGGACCAGCTGATTGCGGAAGTCCCTTTCCGCAGTGATATTCTGTATAATGTGAAATATAAAGGCCCCCTCCACCATCCCCACCATGCTTACGTTTCCAGTGGCATTCAGACTTGAGCAACTGTGCTGTCAAAATAGCATGCTGTTTAGTATTTATAAATTGGGCTTTTATATTGAAGCCTGTGTTAAAGACTCAGGATTCACATTTTAAATGCAAACAGAAGCTGGAGTCAAATCACACAATCTATTTTCAACCATTTTGCCAGGGTGTGACCTACCCAGCCTGCCACGGGATGTGGAGTAAGTGGGCACCACCTTTGGAGAGAAGCCGACTGGCCACGACCTCTTTCTGTGGTAAGTATATTAGAATCATAGCAAGTTTCATTTAGGAATGCTTTAGGCTTCAAGTGAATATCCTACTAAATGGAATCTATGTTTTTCACATAACAGCAGTCCAGAGGTGGTGAATGGTCGCCAGTGTTGGTTCTGCTGCTCAATGATCCATCCATCCAGGGCCTGCCCTACATGGTCCTGAGAGTGATAGCTTTTTTTTTCTTTTTAATTACTAATTTATTTATTTATTTTTAAAAATTTCTTTTCAAAAAATTTTTATAAATGTTTATCATTGTTCAATTACATTGGTTCTCATTTTCCTCCCATTGCTCTTCCCTGCCCTGCCACCCACCCCCCATTGTCCTCGTCCACGGGTCCTTTATATACATGTTCCTTGACTTGACCTTTCCCCTTCTTTCCCCATTATCCCCCTCCTCCACCCCCTCTGGTCACAGTTGGTTTGTTCTTTATTTCCATGTTTCTGGTTCTATTTTGCTCACTTGTTTGTTTTGTTGATTAGGTTCCACTTATAGGTGAGATCGTATGGTATATACTCCACACAGAGAGTGATAGCTTTTTGCTCTCATACTTGTTCCTTGTGTTCACAAGTTGGCTGTCACAGCTCCAGGCATCAAGGCCACGTTTAAGGAAGGAAGCAGGGGGAATGGGTATCCCAGACACATCTGTTCTATTCATTGGAAAAGCAAAAACTTTTCCAAACCCCCCTAGCAGGCTTCCACTTATATTTCCTTGGTCCTATTTGTATCATATGCTTTACTAACCACAGAGAAGGCTGCGAAAACAAGAGCGTAGCTTTTCCAGCATCATTGGGAATGGAAAGTAAAAAAGAAAGAGTTGGAAATGGTAGTTGGATTAGCCATCAAATGGTATTTGCCAAAGTCAGAATCCAAAGAGACAGAATCATCAAGCCTCCACTCGTATTTTTTTTAGAGAGAGAGAAATGGAGATTAAAATTTAAAATTTAGTTTTATTAAACTGAAGCTAAAGTTCAATAACTTGCCCAAGTTCACATAGCTACCAAGCCATGGAGCTGGAGCTAAACCACCTGATTCTTGATTCAGAACTTGCCTCACTACTCACTCACTGCTATGTATACATTGTCCTAGGGACCCTTTAATTATTTTCAAGATTACATTCCAGATAAAAATGACGTGGAAACCATGCACCTTACCTGGCAGCGAATTAGTGGCCCTTAAGTAGTGATGTGATTTTAATTCCTGGGTCTCCAAACTTCAGTGGCTAAGGTTGCCATACTCTGAGCTATGCCTTTGGGACCGCCCCTTTGTATCTCTGGGAGTAATGTGTGTTCTGAAAGGTCTTCCTAGATACCAATCAACAATTGAACTCCCACTGTCGACACAGTTGTATAATATATTTTCAATTTTTTTTAGGAGGGAAAGGGCCCAGGAAGACAAAAGTGACTTAGACCGCACAAGTCACCATGGGTCCTGGCAGAATTAGGTTCAGAATTTAGGTCTGTCTAGTTTTTCAAGCTAACGTGCATTTTCTAAGAGAAGCTAACCTGTACTTCCTAGCTAAAGGGAGAAATAAAGCTTCCTCTTTATTTCTGTGAATATTTTTATTTCCTCCTCATTCTTTCTCTCTACTTTCTTAAATCATCATCATCAGCGTTGGAATTCAGTGTGACATATTCACCAATGTGCCTAGTCTGAAACTGCATGCACAGCTGAGATGTCTTTACCTCTTTAGCTTCTCTTGTCCTCGGAAACCACTTCTGTCCTCTTGTTTGCAGTTCAAGGTTATCTCCATCCCCACTACTGACCTGACCAACTCTAGAAAAATGTAAGATTTTGCCCCGGCTGGTCTTCTGAATTGTCAGAACCTTGACCTTATTGTCCTTGGAGGGTTTATTTAAGGCATTTTGTTTGATTCACCAGCAAAACAAGCATGACTAATGCCACTCCTTATTCTTAGTGTCTTTATAGCCCTAAAAGGGTTGGTTTAAGAAATGGTTTGACTCTCCAGGGAAGGCACCTGATCAAAGTCACAGGCTTTATTACTTTTCCCAGCTAAGGTGTGGCCTTGGTTTCAAAGAACAGCCAAAGGAAAATGCCATTACAAGGAAACCCAGATCTGGGGCTAATTGGTGCTTATGCTGAAGAAATATTGCAGTTGGGAGGGAATTTAGAAACCATCTAATTACAGCCATTGTTTTATAGAGGAAAAAGAGGGTGGGGGGAAATATAAATTCTCACAACGAGTGAGAACAGAACTGGGGAGTCTCCCACCCGCCATTCAGCCGTTCCCCACTCTCCGTGCCATTTCACAAGCATTTGAGGGCTTCCTCTGTCCTCTGTGGCGAACACACAAGGGGATCGAGGCACCATCAACTCCCCTGGGCAATGTGGGTAAAATGCTTTATTGGGGTGCACTCAGGGGCTGCGGGTGTAATAAGAGATTCTGTGCAGCTGTGTCCGGAAGGAGGAGAAAAATTTTGTTCAATACACGGGGAAGAAGGACAGTCTTAAGTTATAAAATGTCCTGCAGGAAAGAATGCTTCTCTTACTGTGAGGAATTCTAGGCCAGTTTTGAGTGGGGAATGCAGGCTTGAACTGTTCAGTAGTTCAGTGGGCTTTGGATTCCTACAGACCTGGGTCCCTGTCACTCACTTGTACAACCTCAGGCAACTTACCTCACCTCTTCCAGCCTTGGTTCCCTTCTTGTAAAATGAGGGTGATGTTGGTACCAACATCATCAGGTTGAAAAGAGCATTAAATAAAATCACAGGTCCAGGATACTCAGCACAGTGCTGGGCACACAGAAAGCACCCCGTGCATCTTAGCTGCTGGTTACCCGCTGACCCTCCCTGTCCTGGCCATTTCTCTGTCTCACCTAAACAGAATCCTTCCACCCCTCGCTCGCAGGGTGTTTGGCCTGGGGAAGAAGACCACCTTCTCCACACATACAATGGAGTTGGGTATAGCTCTTCCTGGAATGCTCTGGAATGCTTGCCTTACTGCTTTGAGGAAGTCTGAGGTTAAAAAAAAGTGCACTGTCATTCTGTACATGACAGTAGCAGTGATAGTTGGTGTTTATACAGCATTAATTATTGCTTACAAAACATCTCCACATACATGGGTTACTTGCTTAAGTCAGCTGCATGACCTAGAGACTTCATTCCATCTTCTTCCTGAGGAGCATGGGTTAGAGAGATTGAGAGACTTCCTCAGGTGTCATGATGTCCAGATTTGGGATTCCAGGTTGGGCCTGTCGTGGCCAGTCAGGCCCAGCTTGGAAAGATGGAATTTAATCTCCTTCTCTGGGATCCCCAGACTCCCATTGCCGGAAGGTCTTCCTTGACACGGCATTCTGGGATACACAATTGCCTTTTGCTGCTCGCTTTTTCTGATGTGAGAATTTTTTTCATTCTCAGTCCAGAGGGAACTTCAGATAGCTGTTTTTTTCTTGATTCGGTTAATATTTATTGGAAGTTCACAGGGCCCATGCCCACAGACATTATGGAGCTGGGGGAGACAGCGGCGGCCAGGGCGCTGCCTGTGCCCTCATTATCTTGTCTAGCAGGATAGACAGCCACACGTAGGTAAGTATTTACCAGATTAAGTATTTACAAAGTAAGACACAAACTTAAAAATGTATTCATTCAGGAGGTGGAGGATCATCCTGCCGTTTAACTGCTTCCTGATTTAAAAAAATCAAGATTCTCAAAAGCATGATTGTTTACTAGGTTGAAGTCTCTTATTTAAAGACGTAGGTGATAATCCTTCGCAACTGAGTTCTGAAAGGCAGATCCATGTTTCTTCGCTTGCTGTCTTCAGCACCCAATATTGCGCCAGGTTGAATTTTTCAGACTTCTCTCAGATTTTTCACATCTTTTTATTCCATTCTGTCATTAATTTCAAATTGCTCTGCCTGAACAATTTTTGTCTAACCCCTCCATGGCACCTGGATGAAGTTTAAGGGCATCGTGGTGACCTTTCTCTCTCAGAAGCCCTGTTTTGAGGCATGCTGGGAGTTTGCCTGTCCCTCTGCACGGAGGCATTCTGGCTCCTGCCCAGTTTGATTCGATCTCAACCCAACCATGTGAATTCCGAATGGGTAGGAAAGGCTTGCACAACGATCAGTAGTAAAGCACCGCTCAATCTTTTCTTGTTGTAGGTTCCTATGCGGGGGCAGTGATCGCCATGCCCCTGGCAGGCGTGCTGGTACAGTACATTGGCTGGGCCTCCGTCTTTTATATTTATGGTGAGTGCCTTGACTTTATGAGTTTCCATGGGTGCCTCATGAAAATAGAGATTACCAACTCAAGTTTATCATATGAAAGGAATCCTTGTTTACCTATGATTCATTTAACATTTATATTAAAGATGAATTTCTTAATAAGCAGAACATTATCTTTCTTCAAATATCAGTTAATAACAACAAAATGCTTTCTCCTAGCTGAACATGGTGCCGTTTGGGAATATTTTGAAAACTGAAAAAATTTAGAGATGAGAGAAAATGAGGCCATAACATTAAGCCTTTTGTTTTTTACCTGCAGGTATGTTTGGCATTATTTGGTACATGTTTTGGCTGTTGCAGGCCTATGAGTGCCCAGCGGCGCATCCAACGATATCCGATGAGGAGAGGACCTATATAGAGACAAGTATAGGAGAAGGAGCCAATGTGGTTAGTCTAAGTGTAAGTATCAATGGACAGATGAAGGCTTGCGACTCTATGAGAATTTCTCTTAGCGATTGTGTTATTCTCTTAAGAAAAATAACATGTGAACTGATGGTTGCCAGATGGCTAGGGAGTTGAGGGGTTTGGTGGAAAAGGCAAAGATATTAAGAAGTACAAATTGGTAGTTACAAAATAACCACAGGGATATAAAGTACAGCATAGGGAATATAGTCAATAATACTGTAATAACTATGTATGGTACCGGATGGGTATTAGAAGGGGAATCACTTTGTAAATTATATAACCATCTAACCACTATGCTGTACACCTGAAACTAAGTTAAAATAATATTGAATATCAACTGTAATTGACAAATAAAAAAATGACATGCCAATATATTCACTAAAAATCTCTTCGTATTTTTACTCTCTAGAAATTTAATACACCATGGAAAAGATTTTTCACATCATTGCCAGTTTATGCAATCATTGTAGCAAATTTCTGCAGAAGCTGGACCTTTTATTTGCTGTTAATAAGTCAGCCTGCTTATTTTGAAGAGGTCTTTGGATTTGCAATAAGTAAGGTAAACACATTGATGTTCAAATGTTCTCGAACTTTAAATCTCTTGCTTCTACTGAGAAAAAACTTTGCATGTTAAAATGAATTGCTGATTGTAATTTATAATCCTGGAGGTCAGACAAGCCATGCATTCTGTGCATAGTATACATAGTTATTTAATTTCTTCTTAGCAAGGATCAGAGCTGTGGTAAGCTGCTTTTTAAAGATTTATGTTCTGTGTGACCTCAAAGTATTTTCAAAGCTAACTCAAGGATGGCATGTTAGACAAGGATAAAAAGATTTAAGCATGAGAGGTTTTTTCGTCTTCTGTAAATTACTGAGTGAATAGCAGTAAGAAACTTAAAGCTTATTTTGCAGATCATCCTTGTCTCCATCCACTGCCTTGTGTAAGAGCCCTTTGTGCTGTTCCCCAGCCATTGTCATTAGGTTGCCTATGTTTCAGGGAGGAAGGGTGTGAACTGTGAAACTTAAACCATCATCCTAAAGAGTTAAACCTCCTTCTACAAGGGAAGAACAACAGCCGAGTAGAGGTAGATGCCTGCAGAGCTGCAGGGACTGTCCAAAGCGACCAGGGAAGAGCTAACGTAGTCAAGTGATAGTAGGTTCTGTCAATGAACATTCACTCTGTGCCAAGCGTTTAACTACCATGTACCAGGCCCCATGTTGGATGGCGGAGCCTCTATGATGAATGAAAGTCACCTCTGTCCTTGAGGGGCTCCAATCTGGTGGAGGAGACAATTAGGTCTACCCTTAAAATCACTTATCTATTCATTGTTTATGTATTAGAAAATTCAGGCCTGCCCGGGTTCCACATATTTAGAAGATTAAATTTGGGGGTGATGGTGGTGGGCAGTGTAGCTTGGTGGGAGCAGGGGATTAGGGAAGTGCATCTCCCAGAAACAGCAAAAAGTAGCTCCCTTTTTTCTATTCATCCAGGTGGGTCTTTTGTCGGCACTCCCACACATGGTTATGACCATCATTGTACCTATTGGAGGACAACTGGCTGACTATTTAAGAAGCAGGAAAATTTTGACTACAACTGCTGTCAGAAAAATCATGAACTGTGGAGGTACCGTGGCTTTCATAGGTGCTTTAAACATCTTCTATAAAAAGAGATGAAATTGAACTGCAGAGCATATTTTGGAGGCTATGTCTAATCACTGGAAAGGATATTAAAAGCCCCCAAGTCTGTCCTCTAGCAGATACTTGAGCGTCTGTCACACCCTGACCAAGTGATCACCCAGCCTGGACTTCTGCAACCTGCAATTTGGCAATTTAGTTGATAAATCCACACACACCTGCAACTGCAAAAGTGCTTCTTTCATCTGCTGTTAAGCTAAAGCAACATGATTTCCTGTTAGAAATCTGTTTATTATTTACCTTTCCCATACGTTTTCCATGTACAGAATCCTTTGCTAATGTAGATTATCCCCTTGTCTCCGTCTTCCCTTTCTACATATACACATGTTTTGATAAGAAACATAAGAAAAATTGTTTCTTTGAATAGTCTTTTTTCCCTCCCAACATATGCTTGTGCATGGAGTGCACATACACACATCTTCTTTCTTGCCTTATTCAGTTCCTGCTTTATGTTTTCATTTTGCAAAAACAAAGTGGAAGTTGGGTCATTTTCCAAAAGAGGTAGATAAAGGGAATCATGAACCATATGATGTTTATGACTGTTCACCTTTTAAAAACTCTACATTGTCTTATTATCTCTTTTGTTTTACTTTAAAAATTAGCATTCATTGAGTGCTTTCTGTGCCAGCCATGAAGCCAGCTTCTTTCCACACATTATCTTATTTATTCCTCATAATCACCCTGTGGAACAAGTGCTATTGTTAAATCCAACTGCAGTGAAGACACTGGAGAATGATAGGGTGACTTGCTCAAGTTGTGGGTCATGTACAAAATCCCGAAAAAGGCAAGATTCTCCCTTGTCATTTTATATTTTGACAGAATAGATGGCTGGGGCCAGGTCTTGGGAGGCTGTGTAGACAGTCGCAGGGCTTGGGTTTTATCTGGAGTGTAGCTGGGAAGCAAATGGAGGGTTTAAAGCAGGAAAAGGGACATGATATAATTTACATTTTCAAATCTGAATAACTGAACATACAACACAAATAAAAGAAGGGGACCGATTAAGACACTGGTTCAGTTTTTCTGTCAAGAGAAGACAGTGGCTTGAACTGGAGTAGGTCAACAGAGGTGGAGAGAGGTGAATGGATTTCAAAGTTCTCTGAGCCTAACTTTCTTCTTCTTGAAAATCTGAATAATAATATTTACCTCAGATGATTGTTATAAAGGTTAAATGTGACAGCACAAACATGCATCTAGCATGGGTCCAACATATGATAGTGCCCCTTTCTTCTTCTGTGTTCAAGACACTGACAAAATGGAAGTTTTCCATAAATGTTCAATAAATATCTGCTATTCAATTGTATTTCCCATGACCAAAATATGCACCCTCTAAACCTGGAACTTGAAAGAAAATTCTGGATTAAACTACACTTGCACAGCTCTTCTAAATGCAGATGGCTTGTAGACTCTAAACCTATTTTTATAGAAATGTCCTGTTCATACTTAAGTTTGCTCCAGTCACCTTGGCCATTTTTTCCCCATAAATGGAAATGTCGGTGTCGGCTGCTGTTGGTGAGAACTCTCAAAATTAAGTACTACCAAAGCGCCTGTTGAGAGTAATCTCCTTTTCCTCCTCCCAATCTTCCCTCTCCCCTCTCCTTCTTCTCTCCCTTCCCCCACCCTTCTCAGAAAATAGAATGCATATGTACAATCTCACCAGCCTCAATTTTATCTTAAAAAAAAAACACCTCTTCACATGTCTTTTCTTGTCATTTTATATTTTGGCATAACAGAAACAGTGAGCTCTACATAGAAAATTGAAAAAACAAACAAATCATAGTTGTCCCTCTTTGCTCAAATACAGAGATGCTAGACTGGAGATAAATACATGAAGACAGTTTTGTGCCATCGCTGAATAAGCCTGGTTGATATGGATATGATGAAGCACTTGCACGATCATCTGGAGAATTTTAGTTGCTTTCATATTTTCTCAGAAGAAATATAGAGGACATTTTTCATCTGAGAAAGATCACATACTTCTTGGAGTTGGTCGCCTTCTCTTTCCGTGGGCAAGAGATATTTGCTGCTAGAATCATATAAAGCAAACAGACCACCTTACGAGATGATGCTCTATTCTAGTTTATTTTGAGTCAGTACATTTCCCAGATCCTCAAAGACAGTTGTCAAGTCCTCATACCTCCCTCTGGAGTCATGTAAAGTGTGACTAAGGTCAGAAATTCTAGTCTGGGTAAATCAGTGGTCTTTGTGACTGCAGGTTGTTTTAATATGAAATGAAAAAATTTCTCAGGCATTTAAATCCTATTTTTTTCTCTTGTCAGCTCTAAGTAAGTTCACTTTCAAGAATCTCTTGATTACTCCCGAAGTTCAGATTTTACCCTTCAGCTCCTGAATCATACAGTCCTATTTCTAGCATTTTCACTGCAGACGGACCATTTAGGCTCTTAAATGCTTTTTTCTTTCTTTGGAAAGTTATTATTTAGCAAAGATCTTTTTGTTGTTGCTATAGATGAGTCAATGTATCACTTGCGAGTTTTTTTCTTCACACAATGTCTTTGTTAACTTTCTGGTACAACCTTTGCTGAGAACATTAAGATAAAAGAAGTTCATTCACATGCCTTGTTATTGAAGACAGGCCATTTCTAAAACATGTAGAGTTAATATATAAAACACTAGCAATTTTGCCCAAGTACAAATTAAGCTGCTGAAACAAAATGAATAGCAATGATTTGGTAGCAATAATATCAAGCCCACAGTTTAAAAAACACCTCTGGCCCATGATTTTATTGATCCTCTTTAGCGGTCCATTGAAAACAGTTATTGATTCTTGCTCTGTTTCTATGACAGTTTTGAGAAAACTGTAGGCAACTTACCAAGGTTTATAAGAAGTACTTGCATTTCAACTGAATTACCTTGATTCCTTTTTTCCTTTGCATTAGTTCATTTACTGAGTGTTCACTACCTGTTAGCTAGGCTCTGTACTGTATACACAGTACCTTCCCTGGGAAATACCACAGTTTTGTCAGGGAGGCAGAAACACAGGGACAAATTACAAGGTAATGTTGAAAAGTTTGGTAAGATAAGTAAAAAGAAAGAGCTTTACTGGTGGGTGAGTGCAGGCTGTTAGTCAGAAAAGCTTCCTAGAGGAAGTAGTAGTTGAACTGGACTTTCAAGAATACAATTTCTCCAGAAAGAGAGCAATAAGCAGTGGGAGAGGAGTGTCCCAGGTGAAGGAACAGCCTGCGAAAACACACATAGGAATTAAACAGTGTTGTGATTGGGAAATAGCTAATAGCACCGTGTGACTATGGCAGGGGGCTTTCAGTGGGCTAGGGGGTGAAGGGCACGGGAGGGCTGGCAGAAGGTGAGACAAGAACAGCAGGAGGGACTTGTTATATAACATTACTCTCAAATGCAGAACACTTGACCAAAGCCTTAAGGAAAGGGACAGCTAATTAGATTTGCGTCTTAGAAAGATACTGAGGTAAAACATGGAGCAGAGGAAGAAGACGTGGGAAGACCAATAAAGAAGCTATTGAAGTTGTCCAGGTGAGAGGTAATGGCGCCCAGGACTAGGGCAGCGGCAGAGGAGAGAGCAAGTTGCTCTTGACAGGTATTTCTGAGACTGGGCCCACAAATTCTTAGGTAAACACTAAGAAGGAGGGAGATTTTGAGATTTCTGTGTTGAAGTTTTGGCTAGTGTTTGTTGAGCTGTGCCCATGTGCCAGGCACTGCACTCAATATCTTAAAAGCCCAATTTCATTTGCTCTTCCAGTGCCCTATAAGATTGTATTGTTAGCTCTGTTTTGGGGAATGAGGATCAAAGAGGTGAAGTGACTTGTCCAAAGTCACGCAATGAGTGATGTTGAGGCGGAATCTGAACCCAGGCCTGTCTGACTCCAAAGTCTGGGTTCTAAATAGAGGTGGATAGAAGATTAATTTAGAGGAGAAGAAAAGGCATGGTGGTGGTGATTTTCTTTGTTTATGAGTAAAAAATAAGAGAACAGAGACTTGACTTGGGTGTGTTGTCTTTGAGGTACCTACAGGATGGGTGTGTGGAGATGTCTGGGATCAGCAGACAGTCTTCAGAATGACCCGTCCTTGCCTTCCACTTCCTAAGGCACTTTATCCCTGGAAATGGTACTCACATCACCATTCTGCCTGCCATTGGCCGCATCTGTGTGTGCATGTGTGCGTGTGTGTGTGTGTGTGTGTGTGTGTGTTCTGTTTTGTTTTTGTTTGTGAGAGAAACATCTTTAGAATTTCCTCATCCTTTTTTATTGTGCAGGATTCACTTATTCTGAGTGAAAGGAACAGAAAGTACATTTATGCTGCTGCATTTTCTGTGCAAATATGTCATAGCTTTTAGACGGAGGCCTGAGAGCTTGGTGAACTTCTGCAAGGGAAGAATTTTGCTTCGTGCTCTTTGCTTCAGTTATTCATTATAGCTTGCTAGTCACTTTCAGCAATCAATATTAGAGTGTTGTCACTTTATTTTTTTTTGTGAGAGGCCATAACATATAAACAAAGGAGACTCATTCGCAGTATAAAGGACAGTTTTAGTGTTTAGAAATGGCAGGAGCAACTATCCATGAAGCAACTGATAATACACATCCCTCACCCCAGGGCTTCCTTGGAATCTACTGGACCACTTGGTGTTCAAGATGCACCAGGATGATGTCAGAAGGCTCACAGAACACCTGAGTAATAGTAGCATAGTCATGTAGTCAAGAAACACCTGGGTAATACTGTAAGCACAGTGCCAGACTGTATGTACTGAAAATCAGGTCCATGAAAATATTAATAGATTCTTATTTAAGAAATTCATGACCTTGGGCTGACTGACATGACGTGACATTTTTTTCCCTTGCTGTTTCCATCCACAGGTTTTGGCATGGAGGCAACCTTACTCCTGGTGGTTGGCTTTTCCCATACCAAAGGGGTGGCTATCTCCTTTCTGGTGCTCGCCGTGGGATTTAGTGGCTTTGCTATTTCAGGTAAAGTGTCCTCTAGGTTTCCAACTCTTTTCTACAGGTCCAGCAAGTCTTAGGAGGAAGTAAGGAAAACCATACTGGATCGCCTTCCTTGAGTAGGCAGGCCACTCCCAAGGAGCGGGGGCCGCTAGCTAGAGAACTTCATCTAGTGGGGGTGACTTTGTAAGTTCACTGGGGACTGAGCTTAGGAACCCAGTCAGGCTGGAATTGCCCTAGTTTCCCCAGTTTGGAAAAAGACACAAAGTGCCAGCGACTCCCGCAACCTTGAGGCATCTCTGACTAGAGAACTGCTAATGTTTGCTCATTTGACATGTAGTCATGGAATCAGAAATTTTTTAGACTGGAAAGCTTGCCTTGATTTTGTCTAGTCTGTGGTCTTCATGTTACAAACAAGGAAATGCAGGTGCAGAGAGGGGAAGTGACTCTCCAAACAGGTTAGGACAGGTAGTAAGACGGATAACAGTGAGGGCGAAGGCTAACCTTGATCAGGCGCATTCTGTGTCTGTCTGACTGTCCAAAGCCCCGTCTGTGAACGAACTGCTGTGGTTCTCACAGCTGCCCGAAGGGCTCTCAGATCCCCATTTTACAAGAGCAGAAGGCAGTCTGCCGTGCGTGGAGGTCAGAGTGCTGCCGTGTCACGTCTTCGAGACTTCAGAAGCTCCCCTTGCAAAACTGGGTGAAAAAGTAAAATTCAGTTGTTGTTCTCCCTTTAAAACATACCGTCATACTAAAAACAATCACAGAACATTTTACATAAATTGCAATTATGACAATGGGAAACAAATAGTAATATCACTATTTTACTCATGAGGTACCTAAAACTCAGAAAAATTGAGTACTTTCCTATTGCCACACGGCTGGTGGCAAAGGGAGAATTAAAGGGCCAGGCCGCCGGGCTCCAGGCCTGCGTCCTTCCCACTGTTTCAGGCTGCCGAAGAAAATCGGAGCAGTAGCATTCCAGAACATAAAAATGTAGAACCTTTGGTTTAAACTATCCTAAAATAGGGGCTTGATCTTATCAGAATAAATAGATCTGGTGAACTGTTAAATTACAAAAAATTATCTACTTTGAAAGTAGCTTGCAGCTGAGAACCTGGGCTTGGAGGTGTATGGACCTGGGTTGAGACCTCTCTTTACTACTTACTATTTATGAAAGAGAAAACTGCTAAGTTATTGAATTTCCAAACCTTAATTTCTTCTATTAGAGATTGGAGAGATGTAAAGGCGACCTCACAGGGTTGTTGAGAGAGCTTGAGGAACCGAGAAAATTCATGCCCTCACTCACACGTCCCATGAGTCAGGCACTGTTCTTGGCATGGGAGATAGTGCATTGAAAAAAAAAGATTCCGCCCTTATGAAGTCTACATTCTAGTGGAAATAAAGCATTGGAAGCCCTTAGCCCTGTGTGAGAGGCATAGCAAAATTAATACGTATTCATTATTACTGCTCAGTTATTATTCACTATGGCCCAGTCCTTCTAACCCTTAAGTATACATAGAAATCACCCTAGGATCTTACAAAATGCAGATTTTGATTCAGCGTGTCTCAGATTCTGCATTTATAGTAAACGTGCTGCTGCTGTCGGTGGTCCATACTTTGAGTAGCAGGAGCAGAGCAATCATGGCTTGTTTCCAGTAGGATGTTGAAGAATACCTTCCCTATAGCTCTGCGATGCAAGAGAGATTCCCATTCTTCCCAGAGACACTGAAATATTTATTTTCATATTGCTCCCAGATTGCCCACTAAGCCACAATCAGAATGAGCGAGACCCAATACTCCACATCGCAGCTGTTGCCCAATTTTTTAGCACTTACTCCCAGCTAGCCGTTTTTTGGAAATGGCCTCATGCAGTCCCTGTAGCAACCCTGCAGGAAGGTTATTGTTTTACATCCACTTAGCCAGTGAGGACCCAGAGACTTGGAAGGGTGACTTCTCACTTGCGCAGGTAAGTCCAGTGCTGGGACTGAACATAGGCGTGTCCGGCCTGGCAGTGATAGGGTGGGAGGGACCACGGCCATGAGGGTGGTAGTTCCCCAGGATCTGCTCTCTGCCAACCCCCTAAGAAGTTAATAGGGACCCCAAGCAAGACTGGCACCATTTAGGAACAAATTATGGACGAGAGAGTTGGGACAGTGATGTTGAAAGACACGAGGAATGGGTGGCGCCTGCTTTGAGAAATAGCCTATGTAGAGAAGGCAGACTCTCCCAGCTTGCATACCAAAAATTTTTTTTTTCTCTGCTACATACACAAAAAAATCTCTTAATATCTCAATTTCTCAGTGATTTTTATCCCCCAAATACCAGAATTGTGCATCGAGACACCTAAATGGCTTTTCTCACATTATCATTGGCTAAACTCAGGTGCCTGGACTTTGTTTTGTATCAGAATATAATACTCGACAGTTATATTAATTGCTTCTTATCTCTGGGTTCTTTTCTAATAAAGTGTTTATTACATTGAAATCAACAGTTAGATTCATTAACTTTGCAGCTGTTTTATGTCCTGATTGACTGCCAGTTTGGTCTGAAAGAGATAGCATGTTTATTACAAAAAATGGTTTTCTCAAAGTTTTTCCTGAAAGGAGGTAGGAAAAAACAACCAGCCAATGTGCCAGATTAGAAAAAAAAATTTTTAAATCTTATTTTCAGGTTCTTTGCACAGAATAGAGAATTTAAAAGCGAAGCAAAGAAAAACAAAAATATGAAGAAATAGAAGTTACAACTCCCTGCTGTAATTCCATAGCTCAAATTGGTAATCAATTAAACAATGATTTACTGAGTGCCTACTATGGGCCAGACACTTTGCCAGTTCAAGGAAGGTAGTGATAAACAAGACAGATGGATAACCACCTGAAACAAACACACACGCTGGTTTTCACATGTATGCACCATGTAATGAACATACATTATTGAACTTGATTCTTACAACAATTTTATAGGAAGGATCATGCCAGTTTATATATGAAGAAGCGGGGGTTCAGAAAATTTCAGCCCTTTTTCCAGGCTTGCGTGTCAACGAAGCCGCCAGAGGCAGGTCTGTCTCATTCTGAACTGCAGCCCTGGGCCGTGTTGGCGGAGTTGGTTCTCAGGGCCCCAAGCCTCCCATTTCACAGCCTGGCCCTTGCCCTGCCTTTACTCCCCACGCTCTTCACGCCCCCCACGCGTTCTTTTCTCCTGATAAACAGGTGAATAGTGAGGTATAGCTGTGCCACTGCCTGCAGCATTATCTTTTGACAGAAAACCTCAATAAGAGGGCGGTGCTTTGCAACAACATCTCGGCAGGAGTAGTACTGGTAATGGTAGTGATAATGGTTGTGGTAGTAGTGGTAATTAGTGATAGTGGTAGTAGTGGTAGTTAGTAGAGCTTAGTTATTTGCCATGGGCTCTCACATACATACTTCCCCTGGGTCACATATTACAGCATCTTTATGGCTTAAGTAGTAATATTACCCCATATTAGAGATGAGGGAACAAAGGCCTAACAATGACTTAAGTGGTAGAAATAAGATTAAAATCCAAATTTATGGACCCTGAATCAAGTATGTACATGGAAGTGTTTTGTAAATTACAGAGGATTCTGCCAATGTCTCTGCAACTGTATTATTTCACAATACTGTTTGGCCAAAGCAAACTTGCCTAGGGTGGCCTTTTGAGAGTGAGTGGAGGCCTGGGAGGGAGCATGTTATAAGGCAGGGTTTGCTTCTAATCACACTGACTGTGGTTGTTTGCTTAGAATAAATGTAATCCAGGCTTTCTGCTTTTTGGTATTGCCCAAAACACCATTATTTTGGAGTTCTGACCCTACAGGTCACAGATGCCATAATTTTCCATGGTAGACACTGCTAATCAATCACAGCACATTTTTCTGCTTTGTGCAGCACAGCCTGAGAACTCTGAACCCAGCCCAACAGCCCTGAACCCAGCCCTCTCTGTAGAGCTACCTATTAGTCATATGTTAGAAGAAACCACATAGAGAGTTGGGGGAAAGCTAAAGATTTTCTAAAGTGTACTTGGAATTCTGGGCTTGACTCTGATTTTGAGGTTGGGGCTTCCTTGCAGGTTTTAATGTCAACCACCTGGACATCGCCCCCCGTTATGCCAGCATCCTCATGGGCATCTCGAATGGAGTGGGAACCCTCTCTGGAATGGTCTGTCCCCTCATTGTAGGTGCAATGACCAAGCACAAGGTAATGGTCTCCTTTTGGGCTATGAGTATCAGAGGACCGAAATACTGCACAGACTTGAGATTTCAAAGCCCTACCCCAGCCTGTAAATATATATGTCCTTGGCCTGAGTCATTTGAACTTCCTTTGTTTGTCTTTTCTCTTTTTTCCCTTCCTTCCTGCCCTCCTTCCATTTTTCTTTTCCCCTCCTCCTTGTCATTGCCCTTCTTCTTCTTCTTTAATTTATTATGTATTGATGGCAACCAGACTGATGGTTCCATGTTTTCTTACCTGAAAAAACATGGAACTAAAAAATGGGGTATGCGTGGTGGGGACAAACACCACAAAGACTGTTTAGAGACAGGAAGAAACTGAGGCAATCAACTCAGCAGAATACATTACTCAAGATTGTTTTATAGTTCTAAGTATTTAAACTTTATAGCCAATTTCCATCTATTGCTTAACATCTTCCAGCACAAAAATATCAGTGCTGTTTACTTCCTTATTATGAAGAAAATAAACAAGACATTAATGACCCTTCCTAAGAACCCACAAGGGTATGACACTGGGTCATTACTGAGCCTTTCTGTATTAGACCAGGGTGTTTGGTGGAGGAGGATCCTGGATCCATCCAGGGTTCAAGCACAGGCCACGTGGTTTCTTAATCTCTGTCATTGAAAAGGTTTCAGGAGGCTGCTTTCTACAAATGGGGATTTATTTTGGATACTATGGAGTTTTTAACCCAACTATCTTTTTTTAAGTTGGATTGCCTGTTGCAAATATGACTTCAGAAATCCTTCCAGCTTCTTGGAGAAGAAAGTGTGGGGCAGTTTTTCTTGTTTTTAGATAGAAAAGAAAGGTGAGATTTGGGGATTTTTATAGGCAGAGGATCCACGTTTTCCCTCTCTGTTTATGAGATGATAAGATTTACAACATGATGATTAAATCTCAGATGCTATCTTCCCCTAACTTTAAACACAAATACCCACTGTTTTTGATACTGTATTATACACAGAAAATATAATTATAAATAGTAAGCTATTGAAGTGAAGTCTGAGTATTTTCATGGCTCAAACTGTTACGTAGCCAACAGTGAGCAAGAAGGAGACCTCTGATATTTAAAATGGTGGGTTCCTAAAGCAAGTTTCATTGAACTTGCTAGGTAAGTGGAAACCTTATTTGTATATTTAGAGAGCTGTGAAATGGTGCTGCATGTGTTTTGCATGATGTTTATTTTGTAAGGTATTTTTATAAATTAAAATATGCACTTTCCACCCTGGCCAGTTTGCTCAGTTGGCTGGAGCATCATCCCGTGCACAAAAGCTTGTGGGTTCAGTCCTCATTTGGGGTGTGCATGGGAGGCAACTGATAGGTGTTTCTCGCTCACATTGATGTTTCTTTCTCTTGCCCTTTCTCCCTTCCTCTCTCTCTAAAATCAATAATAGAAAATATCTTCAGGCGAGGATTAAAAAAATGCGTATTTATTGCAGTCTTAATTTTCCTTTTTTTTAAACATTCAAACTCTGTTTGGATCTCGGGCATGCTTCTGACACATGTCTTTGGGGTGACCGGGTACTCTTGTCCCAGAATGTACTGTTCATTTCTCTCTCTCTCTCTGTCTTTTCTTTTTATGGCCACAATATTCATTGGTGCTGTGTTTCCCTGTTTAGACCCGTGAGGAATGGCAGAATGTATTCCTCATCGCTGCCCTGGTGCACTACAGCGGCGTGATCTTCTATGGAGTCTTTGCTTCTGGGGAGAAACAGGAGTGGGCCGACCCTGAGAACCTCTCTGAGGAAAAGTGTGGAATCATTGACCAAGATGAGTTAGCTGAGGAGACAGAACTCAACCATGAGAGTTTTGCAAGTCCCAAAAAGAAGATGTCATATGGAGCCACCACCCAGAATTGTGAGATCCAGGAGAAGGAATGGAGAGGACAGAGAGGAATGACCCTTGATGAGGAAGAGCTGACATCTTACCAGAATGAAGAGGGAAGCTTCTCAGACACATCCTAATGTCTGAGGGGCACTTCGATCCTCTCCTCACCTTACAACCCGAAAGGATCTGTACCCATTGCCTTCCCCGGAGCCCAGCTTGCCAGAGGGTGAAATATGGGGCCACTGGAGATGGGGGGAGGGGGAGAGACGATTTAATAGGCAATAGAGAAAAGAGAAATACTATCTTGCAATGACACTTATGGGTACAGAGCTTGCTTTAAGCTGACAAAATTGATATCTATATATCTCTATATATAGATATGTAGATACATATATCTATATATCTCCATACCATGTTTTGTTTTGTTTCTTTTTAAAAAAATGGGAGGAAATGGGGATATTTGGTCTGGAGGAGAGTAAATAGCTCCCACGAGGTTTCCGAGAGCAGCCACGCAGAAGAGGGTTTCTTATTCCTAATAAAAGCTACTGTTCATGGGGGCCCTGTGTTGTGCCAGGTGCTTTATCAACATTCTCATTTATTCTTCACACCCACAAGGACATATATATCTCTCTTATCCCCATTTCTCAACTAAGGAAACTAGAGCAACATGAGATCGACTTGCCCGAAGTCATTCATTCAGGGCCAGTGCTGAGCTTGGCGGGGTCCAAAATATGTAGCAGTTTTGGCGAGGGAGGTTTCACCTTAGGGTAGGAAAGATTTTTAATAACGAAAACTGAAATGCAGTGGGTGGTCTTGTGCATAACTGCATATTTTGGCAGGTGCAGGGGAGGGAATCCTTGGGGTTGATGTGGCAGAGCATTCAAACCTTGTATGAGGGACTGGATTCAAAGAATTTTAGGTTCCTGTATGATCTAAAAGGTCACATGATTCTGTGAATGCATAGTGTTTTTTTGTTTTTGTTTTTGTTTTAATAATAAGGGTCGCAGACTATAGGAAAGATTCAAGTAGGTTTTTTAAAAAAAAGGAACAGAAAAAGCTATGCAAGAGATTATATTTCCAGCAATCTCTGGTCAGAATGGCCAAGAGGTAAACAAAGACTTGGCTATTCAATTTCAACTCTTTATAATATCAATAATGTTAAATAATATCCAAAATTACTTATAAATCATTAAGACAGTTAGTAATTTAAAAAATCAGCCCATGCATTTTATTAGGTAAAATTCTTTTGAAAAAGTCTTTTATTTTAAAAAACGTATGTCTTTAGCCATTTCTGCTGGTGATTTAGGAAGTTTAATCAAGTTATACAAAATTATGATTGATGTAATCTTAATGACCATATTTGGAATGATATTCAGGGAAGACAATAATATAGCAGTAGTTATATAGGGAAACACTAGAATGAAAACATGTGGGACAAGTAGACCTAGTGTTGAAAAGTTCATATTTGATTGCATAAAGCAATAATATGGATGCTCTTTAAATACATTTGAAAATTTAATGTTGGCATGTAAAGGGTTATTTGAAAATAAAATTATTTTCCTGTTCATTGTTTTTGAAAATTTTATTTCTACTTTCAGAAGAAAAATACAATATTGTGGGAAAGTGATACATTTACCTGTAGTTTATTATTATAAAGTGTTTTTTTTTCTAATTTCCCATATGCATTTCTGGTCCCCAATTGTACCAGCAGAGTTATTTTAGAAAAATAACCCTGTAGTGTATTTTTGATAAAGAATAATTTTGAGTTAAAAAAGAATTGCCTTATTCTCCATTAAATAGTATTTATATTATTGGTATATAATTTATGTTATCACCTATTTTTAAATCTCTTTAATGAGTGAATTCATATAAGTCCCTTAGAATAGTTTCTGGCACATAGAAAGTGCTCAATAAACATTGAGCGGCATCGTCATCATCTTTTAACCTCTTGGGAATTTCCAGTTGAAAGGAGAGCATGTTATCTTATTTTCATCTATAAGCCACAGAATTTATTGTAAAAGTTGTGTTGTTTTCTAAGTTTAAAAACATGAGAAATTTATGGTAGCCAGTTATTTTATTTTTTCTTCTGTTAATAAAGTAAAAAAACTATTAAAAAAAAACTCATGATCATCTTTAAGGTAGTACGTTAGATTGTGACACCAAATTGTATTTGCTCTATCATTTAAAGTCCATGCCATGCAGAAATTTTACATTTTGATGAATCAAAGCATTGAGGGTACTTGTAAGTTGCCCTTACAGTATTACACAAAATGGAGCCTGGATCATGGTGTTAAAAACTAAAAAACATGTTGTTTTGTCATGATGGGTATTGTGAAGGTTGATTTGAACAAGTAATTTTAATTGAACACCAGGCAGATGCAGTTTGCAAGTCATTGTACATTTTGCTGCAAATACCCATTTGTGCAGCAGATTGACCCTTGGAGGCAAATCATGGGTTCCAGCAGGAGGGAAGAAGGCCTGAGGGTGCTGTATTCTTGAGACAAGAAAGGTTTCACTGGTTCTTTTTAAAGAATAAAAGTTTGGAGACTCCTGAACATGACAAGAAAAAGAACAATTACTCAAGAAATAATGGCGTATTTTTTTTTTTATCCCTGCCTGGATGTTAAATTCAATGGATAAAACTTGAAACCTGCTATTTCTATTTCACACTGACTGACCCTCCAACCCCAACAAACCTGTTCTTCCTTTTCTGTTTTTCCCTTCCCAGGAAATTGCATCACCCTTTTGCTGGAGCTAGAAATCTTGAAGTCATCTCTGACTTATATAAACATGTAACTTTTTCTTTCTTTTCTGCCAAGTCCATTTAATTCAATCTTTAGCTCAATGTTTTATATCCATTTTGGGAATTTTTTAGCTGTGACCTCTCACGATATTGCTTTTGCTCCATTTTCTCTGTATGTTCTTTCCAGGAATTTGGTTAAACAAGTGCTGGACTGTGTGTAAAATGCAATCTCTTTTGTATTTTCCAGGCTTTTGCCTCTTTCTGTGTCATTCTGAATGTCTTCTTCTGACCTGTTTTCAAGTTCTTTATTTTTCTGTTAAACGAAACTTAATCTGATAAAAGTTAATCCATTGTGTGCTTAATTTTAGTTACTGTCTTTTCAGTTTTACATCTTTTATTGGTTCTTTTTCAATTCTGCAAAGCCTTTTCAAAAATATTTCTAGTTTTCTGTTGACATTTTTAATCCTGTATTTTTTTTTTTTTTCTGAAATGTAGAAAAGCTAATTATTTTAAAGTCTGCTCGATCAGTGCCACTTTCTGGAGACCATGTGATTCTATTTCTCTTTTTTTCTAAAAACCTTTTTTATGGAGGTCAATAGTCTGAGATATCCAGGTGTGACACATCTGAACCCATAGGAAAACAATCATTGACGTTTTGGAGTTGGGACAGAACAACTGGTCACCTTCCCAGGTCACAATGAGAAAAAGCCAGCTTACCTGTTGGCTTACCCAGGTCTCCAAGCTGAGACCTGGGGGCCACGCTTCCATATTTCTTGGCCCTTGCCTTTTCTCTGTTTCTATTTTCTATTGGTTTTGTCGATTCTTGTTCATATTATCTTATTTTGGTCTGTGCTTTGTTTTCTTTGCACCTGAATTTGTATTTGAAAAATTGTACAACAGAAATTACTTTAGGCTTAAAATAATGTTTTGTTTTGTTTTCTCCCCAGAGGGAATTTTTGTTTGCTACTTCCAGGAGCCCAAAGGCATTAGCAATCTGGGGTCTCCTTCGTTCAGTTACAAGGCTGTGCTATCCTGGGCCACCCAGATGATTTTAAGCTGGGCTACAGGCAGTTTGAAGGCTCTCTGACTTTCAGTTCACCCTTATTCCCAGAGTACTGCACTTCACAGTCCCAACCCACATGACTGTGTTTCTGCCAGCATCCAACTCTTCAATCCATACCAGGCTATCAATCTGCTCAGCTGTCAAACACTGGCTTTGTTATAATTCATATGCTCCCTGGAGAAAAGTGGCCTCAGATGTCAAGCTCACTTCTCAGGATTTTTATCTTCTCCCAGATGGCCAGATGGTAGCCAGGTAAATTTTCACTGCCATGCTGGCTCTTCAATGCTTTTGAGCATCATTTAAAAAGAAATATGTTTTCTAGTGTGAAGGTTGACCTGGATTACCTAGTCTTCCATTAGTGAATGCTGAAGTCTCTCTAATTTTATCTTCACCAGTTCTCTCCAACTGATTTATTTCCCTAGAGATAGCATGGTAATAAATTAAACCCCAAATCTCAGAGGCTTACTAGAGCAAATGTTTATTTCTCTCTTGGGTTACTAGTTGAGTGTGGGTTCGATTGCATGGACGGAAGGCTTGTTCCAGACTGTCACTCAAGGAAGGATCCAGGATTTATTTTTCCTCTACTTTCCATCTTGTAGTTCATCTTTTGGAACATATAACCTTTGATATCACCTTGAAAGGAGGAGGGAAAAGGAGGCACTCTGGCTTTTCACTGCCTCACTTGGAAATGACACTGTCATTTCTGCTCCCAGTCCATTGACCTACACTGGCCATATAGACCCAGCCTAACTTCAGAGTTGGCTAGGGAGTAATGGGGAGCATGTGAATTACTGAGTCAGCACTAATTTCGTCTGCCACTCAGCTCGAGCCTAGGGTCAGGGTCCTGGGGGCTCTCACTTGGCATGTTGAAATAGCCTCACAGTATTATAAGAGATGAGAGTCTGCTATGTGGCATTTTGAGAGATCTGAACTAGGTTGTAGGGAACAGATCTTGTATGGGAGGGGGCTGTGAGCCTCCTCCGGGGGAAACCCTGAAGATACCAATTCATTAGAATAGAATAGTATCTGGTCTGATTCAAACTGAGTTAATAACTGCATTGACCAATTTGAAGAACCAGGAAAGCTGAAATCCTATTTAGATTTCTCATATTACTATATACCAGGCCTTATGCTAAGCCCTTTCCGTACCCGAGCCTGTTGAATTCTGATGGCACCCCTATGAGGAAAGGGAAGTGTCAAGGGAATTGAGTTTTGTCCAGGTACCCCAGGTATGGAAATGCACACACTGTCTACTAGATGCTCAGTACCTGCCCTGCACAGAATGGGTGCTCAATGGATATATTCTTCAAACTCTGACATGGTGTTTAAGG